ACGACATTTTTCAATCGGGGGAAGAGTGTGACAGGTGCGAAAAATGACCCCCCCCCTTTACTTTTTTGTATTTCTTGTATATTTAGTTTCTTTAAGTAAGGGACTATTTCTTTAGCACATTATCCATCCACCCACTTCTGCATTACGCAATCACCTAGTTTGGCGCCATCAGCGGCGTCACACACACTCATACTTCATTCCAGAGGCACTTAACATTATGTCTCATCTCCTCTCCGAATTTACAGGTAAATACCTTTGATTTATTTTCACTTCAATTATATACTGTTAATACATTTTGTTACTTTCTCATGTTTAAGTATTTAGGTATTTATTTATAATGAAAAGATTGCCATGAAATCTGTATTTTTATGCTAAAACCTTGTCCCTTTCCGTTAGTAAACTTGAGCGACCTCACTTTTGTAAATATCTCACTTTAACTTTTACTTTTAGTTATGTGTTAATTAATAACGCATTAGAAAGAGTTCCTTATTTCATTTTAAAGTTCAATTCATTGATTTGGTGATTTAGATGTAATTTTTCCTAAATTTTGATGCGTCCGCAAGATGGCGGCCGTCACGTAAGGTTTTGGCACCAAACTATGTTTCCTTTAAATGATCTATTATTGCACAAGTTTCATATAAAGCATCCATTAATTGCTTTCCTTGAGAATAATGTCCTTATTTACCTATCGATTGCTTGAGGATGTCAGTTAAGTAACTTGTAAATTACGTTTCAGATTATTTGCTTTTGTCAGACCTTGTCTGCCATTTTGTAATCTTGTTTCCAACATGTCTTAATTAATTTTAATTCTTGTTAATGTTATACTTTATTGTAAATAGTCACACACTCATACTTCATTCCAGAGGCACTAAACATTATGTCTCATCTCCTCTCCGAATTTACAGAGAATTAAAACACCGGTAAAGACAGGAAATTGCCGTTCTCCTCCGCCCATTTATTTCGGCCTCATTCCTGAGTGCCACACTTAGAATGGAACACACAGCAGTCACTCAGGATGAGGCTTTTTACGAAATCTGTTATGCTCTACGACTTTAGTAACCAAACAGATTTCACAATCGAATACAGGGTAACAAAATTGACGTAGATTAAAGATTTTCTTAAAAAGCAATCAAATTTGAAACATCATTAAAATTTGTTTCAAGCATTTTCTTTATAGAGCATGTTCGTGAACGCATGATTAGAAAAAGAATAAGAGTTACTGAAATCGATCAATGCTATCCGAGGTTATGCATGGCTTACTTAACTTACCCATTTTCATAGCTGTCCATGGAAGGCCATTGAAAGCTATTGAGCTTATTGAGAATTACAGATTAAAAACAAGCATTCATATAGGCAAACCTTATTTTTTACCGTCGTGTGTGTTTCGGATATGAGGAACAAGGAAACTTTTCCCCCAAAAATATTGAAGTCGAATTTTGTATGTTTTCCTTTACAAGTCCTCGTTCATGCATGGAGGTGGGAAAGGAAAATGTCAATGCTTCAATCTACTCATCGGGTATTCATCAGTTCCTAGAACGGTAAATGGTCATTGGGGGACAGCCGAGTTTTGTGATCTTTTTATTGAAATAGATATAACGTGGTAATAGAGTATGCAATTACGTGAAATTTTTCACAGTTAAAAGTTAATAAGATGTACTTTATCTCTATTTTTTAAAATTAAAAAAGAGTCAAATATTTGTAAAATATTTTTTTGAAATCGGTCAATTCCTTTAGACCCACCCTGTATTGCGGCTTGGCGGCTTCCATCTCATGAATTGCTTGAGTTGTTGGAAAGCTCACGTGTGGAACCGGATTGAAAGAGTTATTTGTCGAAGGGAAGTTGTCGATGGAAGGTAACGCGCTCTTTTTCCTGTTCAGTGAGGTAATCTGCTATTGCATTGGGACCTACTCCGTCTGGAGTTGCTCAATCAACAGTTTCAACTCCCGTCCAAGTTCCAACATCCAGCCTCCGACTCAATTGTGACGTTTGCGGTCTCCATTTGTATGTTGATTCGAGGTGCAACATACAATTTGACCCCAATTGTGGTCACACTTTTGGCACATTTTGAAAAAACGAATAATCATGAACGTGATGTTACGTTTTTGGATATTTTCATAAAGATAATGTAATATTTAAATATTAAAAGTCTGAAAGAAACAAATTTGCCAGGAAAAAACATCCAGGTAACCATAAGAAAAGCCAATTCGAATACCCTAAGGTGTAAACTCTCCAAAAATCCACTTAACACTCAGTGATTTCTGTTGTAGATTAATTGTTAGTAAGTTAATCAGGTTGTTGTTTGGAATGAAGCTTGTTGCTAGGCAACGGACATCATCATTATTATTATGATAACATTGTACCACAGGATATCGAAGGTACCACACACATTTATGTGGTACTCTCATCCAATTCCACTGACCTGTGGTAGATTGTGTGGTAGTACAACAGAAGTACCACAGGATGTGGCAAATACCACACACATGTATGTGGTACTTTTCTTAAATCCTACTGTTCTGTGGTACTTTGTGTGGTACCTACATGTACTACAAGAATACCACAGGACAGCGTCGGCATTACCACATAAATTTGTGTGGTACTCTGGTCATATATACTTTTCCTGTGGTAATTTCTGTGGTAAACATATGTACCACAGAATTACCACAGGAATACCACAGGACATTTTCGTAAGGGCTACTGGTCGGGCCTGGTGTTGCCCCTAAATTGTGTAACGGTTATATGTTTGATAGCGAACTCCATTTTTTGTAATGTCCGTAAAATGTTTGTTGTTTAGTGTATGCCGCTGTGGATTTGGGCCTTTGGTGTTGCCCATATTAACATTACCATAACAATTGACATTCAAACGGTATATATGCCATATCAATGGTATCCGGAATAAAACACTCATCTGTGGTTGTCGGTACACAGGTTCACTGTTGCGGTTTTTAGCCCTACTGCAAATTTTTAGTTGCTTTTTTTAAACTTATACATTCAATATTTCCTTTGATAACTCCGATTTTAAAGTACTCAAAAAGGCTGTTCACACCGGTGAAACATTTATTATTCATTAGTGAATGAAAAATTGAACAAATTGGGTTAAATACCGAATGTTTGTTCTATTTGTGTGCACTTTACAATTAAACAAGGCCACTGAAAACAAGCTCGAAAAATTTCGGAAGCTGCGGCTTAATTGTAGACCTGCTGTAGCCTATAAGTCATATATATGATGTAAAGATATGTTCTAAATTGTAAAGGATTCCATTTTTTTGCTGAACGTCAGTTGGTGAATGCACGGACCATTAATGTGTTGACCTCGATCGTGCCCCATTTTCCACGACTGCAAAAAAAAAATGGTAGCTGGTCAGTGGAGACCTGAAGCACGTGTTGTTGCGAGGGCCTAAGGGACAAGATGATTGATTGCCAAAGAAGACATGGCTAGCACAAACCATAGAGCTAGCTCCATTTCCCACAGTGGTCTAAGAAATAGAATGAGTACCGTACTGCATTACAAAAAATTACACATCTAATCATTGCTCTTTGAAAAAAAAAATTCTAATCTTAAAAATGATAAATCTACATCTAAACTCTTATAAAAAAACACACCATGGTTCAAAAAACTCCATCGGTTACGTATAATTTATCAGATTTTAACAAAAGGCATTAAAAAAAGAAGAGCAACTTGAATTAAGGCTCTGCAGATTTGCAATTATAATGGCCACATTAATAATTAGAATGGCCACATTGACTTCAGAAAAGCCTTTGATTCTGTAAACTGAAATTGCCTAATGAACATCCTACGGGCTTATGGAATTCCCAAGAAGATAGTGGACCTGATATCCTTGCTGTATACAAACACCAGAGCCCATGTCATTACACGCGATGGGATGACAGAGTTCTTTGAGATACTGAATGGAGTACTCCAGGGTGATACATTAGCTCCATATCTTTTCGTGATCGTAATGGACTATTGAATGCGCCTGGCACTGGTTAATGGGTGCTACACTAGAATGTTGAGGGTGGCTCTGAGCGTCAACCAGTACGCAACGAGAATGAGGAACTCGGAGCTGTACGAAAACCTTCCAAAGGTCAGCTCAAAAGTGACCCAGAGGAGATTGAAGCTTTCAGGTCATGCTCAAAGGCATCCAGAGTTCACACTACACTTAGTGGTCCTGTAAGAACCCCTTCATGGTGAGGCAAGAAGAGGGAGACCCAGGAGGACATATGTCGATTCATTAAGGATGGACACTGGTCTCCAGGAGACGCGAGACATCGCTGAACTCATGAATGACAAAGGTTGTTGGAAAGAACTTATCCGTGGATCTCGGGAGTTCTACCCGACTTGATTGATTGATTTTAATAATGTATTCACTAGTTTAATAACATTTACAAATGATGTTAATTTATAAAAATTGCTCCAGAGCAAGGAACATAAACAAGTGTGATACGTGCAAATGATTAGACGCAACACACAGATCACACGGTCGCGAAAATCCATCACCGATTCGGTGATCACATTAAGTGCCTCTTTGGCGTTCCTGTTTCGCCAAAAGTTGTATTTAATCGGTGATGGACTTTCGCAATCGATGGACTATGCAATCGGTGATGGTCTTTCGCGATCGGTGATCGAAGTTGCGATGACCGGTCGCTGAGCGCCAGTCGCAAAAGTCCATCACCGATCGTGAATATGCATGACCGATTGCGAAAGTGTATTGCCGATTCGGTGATCACGTTAAATGCCTCAATATGAATATGGTGAATATGCATCACCAGTAAAAGTCCATCACTGATCGCGTAAGTCCATCACCGCTCGTGAATAGGCATCACCAGTAAAAGTTTATCACCGATCGCGAAAGTCCATCACCGGTCGTGAATATGCATCACCAGTAACAGTTGATCACCGGTCGCAAAAGTCCATCACAGATCGCGAATATGCATGACCGATTGCGAAAGTGCATCACCGATTCGGTGATCACATTAAATGCGTCTTTGGCGTTCCATACATATGACACTCTATACAAATTAACCACTGCCATAATTACAAGTACAATATGGAGTCACCTCACCTTGCATTGTTGGCTGTGGCATGCAGATAGGTCTGACGTTTGGGCTGAGTGTGGCATTCCTGCTCAGACGCAGCAGGGCTATATCATTATCAAGGCTTCGGTCATTGTATTCTTCATGTTTTATCAGGGCGTCTTCACCATCCAGGTTGTACACTAGGGATGGGTCAAATTCTCGAAGTAAATTTGTAGATTTGTCTAGTATTCCTGTAACAAAGGGAAATATTTATGAAACAGTTAGATAATGTGAGAGGATGAACCTGTACATGCCTGAACGTTTGTTGTGACGTGTCTTATCATGGCGTCTTCGCCATTGTTGTACAAGTTGTACACTAGTGATTGGTTAAACCGTTGAAGTGATCTGTTGATTTGTTGATTATGCCTAAAACGAAGTCAAAGTAACCGAGTTATTTTTCGGTATACTAATTGTCCGTTGACACAGGGCTTGCACACGTTTAAACTTAACAACAATCATGAATAAGCTTACCTTTTTTAAACGACTAGACATTTTGGTGTTTTTCTTAAGAGAGATGGACAACTGTTAACGATATTTGATAACAATATATCTAATGCTTCTTTTGAATCAATATCAAACCTCTGTAATAAAACGAGAAGTTATTTCCACATAAACTCTGCATATTGATGCCGATAGATGTAATTTCAACGTATTATGATATGGGGTATTATTTGCTTCTCATTTCATAGTGAGAAGATTTTCACTTTTGTGAACCAGAACAAAGAAATGCATTGGAATAAGCCCGATGGAGTTAATTACACTTTATCACACAAATTGTCTTTGAGCTTAATCCTCAATTTCATTTTCAATTAGGCACCAATGGATTTCATTTAAGGTGCAGTATACAATTCAAATTCGAATTAGTCTTAATTTCGGTAAAGTCTTCTCATGTGGCAATTGTATTTAAAGAGCGTTGATTTAAAGGTAAAGTTTATTATAACGCTTTAGTCATTAATATTCATACAGGGCATTTCGAAGCTATATGAAGGCCCATACATAATTATTAGTGGTATTGTAATGAAGCTATCTGAACCGGCCCACATGTTTGTCCTTTTGTTAATTTGCTACGAGCTTCGCATAATGGAGTTCTTAAAATACTTTGTTATATAACTCTTATTACTCTGTGTGTTTTGAAAGGGCTGGGCTCCGGGCACGCGGGGTCTGTGTCCCTCAACGTGCCGTCGGGTTTCTCGGGCCGACGAAGCTGTATTTGAACAAGTTGTTAAATTGTTTGAGTTGTTTTAATTAAAGATAGTTGGTTATGTTCTGCAAACTTGTCTTCAACTGTCCATCTGTTCGTGGTGTCGATCCCCTATGGGGTGTGGCGGCCATGCCATACCGCGCTGCCACACGGCCATAACAGTATTCTGCATTTTCTTGTCACTCATTTTTCAGACTCCATCAGGGAGAATTAAGAGGGCTGACAATGCTGGAGTTCAGCGAGGCCGATATAACAAGGTATCAAACGCGGACAGAAACCGTATCATTGGTGCCTTCGAATAAGAACTATTGCTGGCTATTGCTGACACTCTCGGGATGAAGCGCCATATTGCTCGCAACATAAATATTACTTTCATGAGAACAGAATAAGTACATTACCAAGAGGAGGGAGAAGACGTTCAAAAATCATCATGGAACTGAAAAAAAAACTCATTGTTAACCCCATGCCAACTACATGTAAGACTAAGACAGCTACAGCTTCCCGACAAGCCGCATATGCCCGGAGTAGAATACACATGCTAGGACTGTAGAGTGCAAGCTCAACACACTACAGCTTGCTCAGGAGATACCTCAATCCTGCAAGGTCGACAGAGTGTAGAACTTATAATTTTTTTTTTAATATGCTTAACCCTTCAAAGTAAGTCTAAAAGATTGGAAACATTTTCTAACCGTATAATATGTCAGATTAGGCTACCAGAAACGAAACTGAATGCCAACAGCACCATAATGAATTGAAATTATTTGTTTTTCAATAGGACGCCGATCGCCATATGAGTCGAATTAACCGAAAAGAGGATGAAGTAACAACGCTTCAATTTGGATTATACTGCACCCTATTTGAAATCCATTTGTGGCTTTTACAAAGTGACACTAAGAAATGAGCTCTACGATGTTCTGGAACATCGTTTGAGGGAATTTGTGTGATATAAGTGTTAAAAAACCTGGAAAACCTATGTTAACGGTCAATGATGATAAGCGATTGATACGTGCATCAAACCAACAGATTCAAAAGGTGAGTCTTATACCCCACTCGTTATTACACAAAGCCCCATCTTCCAATGACAATGTTTCTCGAAAGTGAATTGATAAACAATGCACAAGCAATACTAGAGTCTTAACCAAGTCATCACTATACGTACAGGTCAAATACAAGACTCGCAGTTTTAAGTCAAGTGACAAGTGATTGCAATTTAAAGCTTGTGATTGGAATTATGGTTGACTACAACTCTGACGTGGGCCAGAGACTTTAAAGTGCAACCCAACCACTCACACGGACAAGCATATATCTCATTGTTTCACTCCTACCTGTGTATACTCTGATGTCAGACCATGGGCAGCGGTTGCCTCTGAAGCAGTGTGCAGCTGACAGAACCCAGTTGCGAGCAATAAGACTACCACCACAGAAAAACCGGGGCTGGATAAAAGTACAGATTTATACTTTGTAAAATTGTAATATCTCTACAGTCAGGGGTGTGCAATTTTTTTTACGTAAATTATACCAGCTTAAAAGAGAACTGTGTAATGTGATGCTGACTAATAAACGTAACTGCTCTACTCAGTGTGAGAAGATGAACACGTGGTACATGTAACGCTTAAAACGGTTAAATTGGATAGGTACTTAATTGGTACACGAACTGCTGATGATGTAAGAAACTGTTTAATCATACCACACATTCATAACATCCTGCAATACCCAAGTCACAGAACAGAGCCACCTGCCAGGGCCAATCACCATGTTCAGCAAAACTCCCGCCAGCTATTCTTGAATAAGGCTGGTGACGAAGTTTTCCATTGCGCCCGCACAGCGAGTAGTCTGAAAAAGAAGACGGGCGATTATCATCAGCAAAAACAATCTTAGTGTTAACTTCTCCCTTCTACGACAACATAGCACCATAAAAACACAACCAGCATAATCATACCAAGAATAAGAAAACCGACGGACCAAAACATAAACGACACAAACAACACGAAATCATAAAGCGGACACAAATACAACAAAAAAACAACGATGTAAACAAACAATTCGAATAACATAAACACTAACAAACAAAAACAAAAACAACCATAGGATCAGATCTTGATCGTCTTTCCCCCCACAATATCTATGGCACATCCACGTCCGAATCCTCGCTTATTTGGGGGTTCTCCATTATTATGCGGAGACGCACAAGAGACAGGGGTGGGGGATGGAGCCACGGTCTCCAGAAACTGCAATCAGGTCCGACAAGAAAATTGTGGAACGTCCACACTTGACAAATAATAAGATTGTAATAATTCAATGATGAACTTATAGAATGACCACGTGTCACGTATGTTTCAGCCCCATAGACCGTGCGTGCATTTAGTTGTCTTCTCACGCATCCGCAATGGTTTCCTCCGCGTCGTCGGCTTGCAAACAGTGGTAGCAGACGACGCAATGAACGATTGTCAGGTTTTCATGTCTTAAAATGTATCCTTCTCAAACGTACTTAAAAGATGATTCAAACCAAAAATTATCAGTAGACCAAGTGAACAAAGATATAAATTGTCTCTACAGTGTCGTAACGGCGATAAAAGCCTTTCAAATACATAAAAAAAACCCAATAATTATGGACAAAAAACGTACAAAATGAAAAGGAAAAATATCGTTCGCTTTTGAGTTTGGTTTACACATTTTGGACAATTTGCCTGGTTTACCTTAGATCAGCCGTAGTACCATCATTTTACAAGTGATTTGATGTGAGAAGGAAACCTGTAGCTTATAAAAATCGTCATTTTTCGATTAAACCCATTTTGACAGCTTGTGCACAAATAAACTTGTCCCAGTACCCTCTATGATCGTACTTAACTGCATTTCAGAGCCGGGAACCAGTCAGTTGTAAATCGTTTCAGTTAAATGTATACATTTCCAACGCATCGAAAGATTACAAACGGAGCGCCGCGCGCGGCGCGTGGCTAGCCATGTTTACGGCCAGATTCCAGGGTCTGTGTACAGGTACGTACGTGCACAATAACGTTACATTCAACGAAAAAAACGTACAACGTGAGACCTTACTTTTCTCATCGAAACGGTTTCCGACTTAAATGATATTTATACATCGCACTTTCCGTGGCATCCTTTACCATTTTTCAGTGAAGACAAGTTTACAATTACTCGGCAAAACTGAAAAATTATCCCCAAAACTGTCGCCTGTTTTGAATTTGTGACCCAATACTTTCTTACTACACGACACGAAAAAACAAAAAAAATACATCAAATACTCTCTGTTTTTTTGTGCTAAGGTTTGCAAAAGTGACTTTGATTGCCTTAAATTCCTGTCCACGTGGAAAGAAAAAATTATCAAAGTACTTCGAGCTTGATGTTGACCGATACTTCAGTGGGTCAAACTGCGACTGCAGGCATCCATGTTTGCTGATTATCAGTATTTCATATTTTGAGTGCGCATGCGCGCAAACTAAATGAGTGGCTGAAACATACGTGGTGTGTAGTAAAAAAACTGACCAGATGGACTGGAGAATCCGCTTAAATGCAGCTGTTATAATTGTGTTTCGAACCTTCAGTTTTAGATTCCGTTGATAAGACCGTCGTTGAATCTTGATCTGTCGCATGTTCAGTTGTTGAAAACTCTGAAAAATAAATACGTTGTAGAGTGTACGAACAATATTGCTTGTGTTCGATCCTTTCATAAAAGAAAGTAATTCTATCTACCCATGGCTGTTCCATATATAACCAAGAAATGAATTCATAAAAGTCATCAGTTCATCAATTCATGCATTCAAAGTGCAAAACCGGACCACGCACGGATCTAGTTGTAGATCATTTAAAATCAGGTTTACACTTCAAATGGTAATTCAATACATGTACTTTTTGCTTTTTCACCTCTGGCTGAGTAGGTATACAGGCAAATGGAGTCTCTTTTAGGTCCGGTGTCTTGAATTATGCAATACAGCAAGATGTGTACTGATATTTTAAAGAAGGGACACGGTAAATTTAGGCATTTGCCTACGCCCCGAATAAATGTATGTTCATCTTACCAATGTGACTTTCAATCCAGTCGGTATATGCCGAAAGTCTTGTGTAAATACCGTATCGACCTTCCACGGCGCACCCCTCACCCCAGCTGACAATGCCTATCTGGACCCATCGTTTGCTGCCGTCTGCAACGGTCATCTGCCTCATGACTGGCCCTCCCGAGTCTCCCTTACACGCATCCAGGCCTCCCTCCGGTACTCCCGCACAAAACGCGATTGCAGGCTTGTAAAAGGACACACCCGTACACTCATAGTGGTTGATGAAACTGTCCCTGCATTCTCTGTCAGTGCGCATGGGGACAATAAGGAATTTGAGGAGAGACGAGGTAGGCCTGTATCCGTCAAAGCACAGATTACCGTAATCATAGGGTTGCGTAGTGCCCCATCCAGCCACATATGGTGGTTCTCCGTGTGGTGAATAAAGTGTTCTTTCTGATTGTAGAAAATAATCAAATGCTTATTATCAGTACATTGATAGTAATAATAATGTGGGGGCTAATCATCCTTACTTGCAACTGAGAATCTAAATTGCGTAGGACGCGGCTACAACGTGGTCGTGCCAAAGCCGTGTAAAAGCGCCTTTGACAGCCGCCATTATGACCCATGTGGGAACCACAGCCAGAGATCGAAAGTGTTTTATAGTTATGCGGAGTGAGGAAAAACCGGAGAGCCCGGAGAAAAAACCTTCTCGGCACAGATTCAACGCACAACACTTCTCACATAATGGTCTGAGCCGGGAAGAGAATCGCTTTACGCACTAGCCAACAATGCCACCATAACATTAGTGGGTTGAGGGATATAGAGGAGGAAAAAAGACATCGAGAATAATGAAAGGGAAGCTGGTTGACCAAATGGGACCTTGATCCAAAGCGGCTCTGCGAACAAGTGAAGTTTAAAAATTGTAAAAAGGGTCAATGAGCCCTCACTCGACTGGTTTTAGGGTCCTGGCGTTATGGCATCTTCTGAGCCATAATTGCAATGAGTACGGTGCAAGCTACTTTTTTTACGGTCCTACTTATTGTTTGGGCATTTCCAGCTCAGGTCCAAGTCATAAAATTCGGAGCTACTTCCATGGTTGAGTTGATACGAACTCTAGTAAGCCTAAAAAAAGAGAAGTAAACTATCACTCTATACACTCTACGTCGAGGAATCGCTCATAGAAAGTCTTTCTTTGAAATCTCCTCCAATTGTGTATTACTTAAAGATCGTGATGGCTCACGCAAGCGTAGTATTTTGTGATCAACTTTATGAATGTACCTGGCTGCTTAAGTAAATGCTTCCCTTATAAAGTACACATTTAGGACGCCCTCACCTTTCATAGCAAGTTTTGGCATGCAGATTGGTCTTATTCCTGAGCTCAGCATGACATCACGGCTCAATCGTAAAACGGCAATATCGTTATCAAGGTCCGAATTAAACGCCTCATGCTTTATTAGGGCGTCGTCTCCATCAAGGGTATACACAAGGGCTGGGTCGACCAGTCGAAGAGCTGACCTGGATTTATTACGAATTCCTGAAATAAAGCGAAACAACATCATGACACCATACAGTCCTACAACCATGACAAAATTGACGGGCCACCGCAGTGTGAATTAATTATTCAATTCAGACGCAAGCGCCCGTGGTATCCACTTACAATCTGGGAAGTGAATTATGTCTATGATCAGTCCCATATATGGTGATCATTCACATGATGCTCAGTCACATGATGACAACCATGTGACTTTCTTCTTGAATCTGATTGGTTAACATGAATATTGCGTCTGGTGAAAACGGATCCGGTGAAATTGGAAGCGTAAAAATCAAACGTTTGATTTCATCCGGTTGCCCGGTACACGGTCAGATCGGTCCGATTGTTGTTTTTTTCAGCGCACACCTCTGTACGATGTCCGATGATCTCATAAACCAAAAATTGGAAAGGTATGCGTCGGGCTTTAGATACAAATGTACTCGTCGGTTCAGCCAGATAATGGTTTTATTGACCATCGACCCGAGCTTAATTATGTAAGGTTGGTAATATTATTGCATTAATCTTTGCACAAGACGGGCCCTACGTTAAATTTATCAGTGAACGAAAGCTCTAATGTATAGAATGCATAATTTTAAATGTTTCGCAAACTATAGCTCCAGACCCAACACTTAATTATACATGAGATTGTTCACGAATACTCTCTAAATAGCAAAGAGTGAAAGTTAGGGACTATACGTTTTAGAGTGAAAATCGATCTTTACGATTGAAGAAATTTCATTCTAAAACGAAGCTAGTTTCCGACTGTGGGAGTGAATCTTCACTTTAATGGAGTGAATTTTCACTCTGTGGAATTAAGAGAGCAACTATAATATCTGGTATAGTAGTGCAGAGGTACTGAGGTCCTCACTGGCTTATTCTTGTGACTATGCATGCAGATCATCGAGAGTAGCGGCTTGTTGGCCCGTATAAAACCGATGCCCGATACGCGAGTACTGGGAAACCTGCTTAGACCTCTATACGGCGACATATTCTATTTGAGATATTAAACACTATTGCCCCCAGAAATAACTGTAATGTATGCATTAATCATTAAGTTTTGACCAAGGTCCAAACATCCTACCGTACCTGTATATACTCTGATGGCAGACCATGGGCATCGTTCGAAGCAGTGTGCAGCTGACAGAACCCAGTTACGAGCAATGAGACTACCACCACAGAAAAACCTGGGCTGGAAAATTAGCAAGGAATTTTGAAGTTTGCAACATCTTATCAATCCAAACCACAATGTAAAAACCACAAGTAAAAACTGCTTTGCGCAGCTATTTCAAGTGAAGAAAGACAATTGGACGACTGCAATTGGCTGCTTGAGACAATTAAATGTTCCAGAGTTTAAGATTCCTTGGCTAAGGCCAAAACAAAAAAATACTCGGTCTCTGGTCAGCGCGCGCGTCGATTTTAATCATGCGCGTCAACCTTTTTTTTCCTCCAAATTAACACGGAAGCTACAACAGTGCCCTCTATTGCCGCGCCTTTTCAAAGTTTTGTACCAAGGAGCACCAAGGATTGGGGAAATTGCACCAAGGCAAATGATAAAGGGCACCAAGGCAAATTATGGAGGACACCAATGTATAATGAGTACACAAAAATGCAAAATAGTACCCACCTTCTCTGTACAATACAAGCTTGAAAAAAATAACACCAAAAAAAAAAAGAAAAAAAAAAACCGCGTCGCCGCATCAATTCCGGAACTTCGGTCTGACCAGAGACCGATTATTTTTTTGGCCTAATGGTGGTCTTTTGACTTTAGGCCTACATGCATTGCTTTAAGACAACCAAGAATATAATGCATTACTACCTCACATCTTGTGCAGTTCCGATGACAGAAGAGCGCCACCTGCCAGGGCCACTGGCCTTCTGCAGCATCAGTGCCGCCGGATATCCTTCCAAATATCCTCTGTTCTGCATATTCACTGTACCCGCAGGCCGCGTAGTCATCTTAAACGAAAAGAGATTGGGGTCTAATTAAAAATGGTGTCATATTTTTCCCACATGATCGAAAATTGTTAGCTTCAACTTGTTGATTCAACAAAGCAGAATATAAATGCTACGTCGAAAAAATGCTAAGCGATTTACTATTAAGGAAGTGGCACTTAGAGGCGCATATAGCCTATATCCTCTTTAATAATTTTTCCATTACATGTCATTTTTGCGCTATGTAAATAAGACATTCGACGTTTTCTTGAATGGAGCCATCGAGATATCCAGATATGTTGTTTTCTGTAATTAGATGTTTACTTCCAATGTGCAATTGTATGACATGTTATAACAGTGAATCTCGGATCGGGATTTTAACAGTAGCAGCTGGGGCCGATTTCACGAAACTCGTCTTATCTTATGACTCATCTTGGGACTTAGGACGAGTCCCCGCTCTAAGATCAATCTTAGCTAAGACGCGTCGTACGACTGATTTCGCTAAACCCATCTTATAGCAAGACACATTAAAACTGCCAATTTGATGGCAGTGTCGCGTTTGTTTTTACCGCTCGACGAATCAGTCGTTGAAAAGTAACAAAACCATTTCCGCGCGCAGAAAAATTACTCTAGTCAATAAATTTCACACGCAAGGTAGGTCTACACAAGATACGATAGAGTCATTCTTGCTTAGGAGCGTAAATCGCGGGGGGATGGGGTATATATCCCCAACATTTTGACCAGGGGGGATGGGCTATTGAATCATCCCCCACTTAGTTGTGATGAGAGAAAAAAATGATTTTGAGGTCATTTTTCGACATCCCAACGACCAAAATGTATTCAATAGCACTGAAAAGTGGTGAAACGAAGAACAAAAGCTTTTAAAATGTGCCTTTTTGACTGAGTGCCAGTATATACATATTGATGTAGGGAGACCAAGTGCGCCCTCAGTTGTTCGTCCAAAAGTTTCGCGAGTGATTTGCATATCATGACCTTTGTGCTTCCCGCGCAAAGGCAACTTGTAACAAGTTTTCCTCTGTGGGACTTGAACAGGGAAGACCACCACAAATTTGGGGCATATATTCTCTCTATTTTGTAGGGAGCATGGCTCCGGCCATGCTCCAAATTTATATCATTTTGGAAGGTTAGTATTATATCATTTTGGAAGGTTAGTATTATAGATTCGTCCCTGTGAGTACTTTAGTGTATAATGTGATCCTTTTGTGAGAATATTGTGTTCATTTTGAGGCCGGATGATTCACGTCTGTGATTTGTAACATATGTAGCCAGCCGTGTGTTGACATTTGACCTTTATCGTTCTATTTTATTGTGCCTTACATTTATCATGGATTATTGCTTTGTGTAAAGAATATTATCATCTTGACTCTTGTGTGGAAATAATGTAAATACAAGTTCGGTAAGCTCATCTCATTGTCGTCGTCATGACATAGGTTCATAGTTTTACTGGCATATATTTTTAGTGGAACACTCGTCCTCTTTAAATAGAGGGCCGGCCTCCTTTTGCCGTCCCGCCACAAAATGGCGTCGTAGACAGGATTGAGTGCTCCGACAGTTGACATTTCTACATAGCCGTGAAGTTTTTATTGACGACGCGTTTTCATCCGGAAATATTTTCCCCGGACTTTACATTTTCTAGTGCACCGGAATTCGTGTTCACGAATCGCACTGAATCGCTTCCGTGTGTTTGATTGTGGCGATCATAGACGTGATGGTCATCATCTGATTTTTGCCTCACCTTGCGTTGAGAGGACTTCATTGACAAGCTACATTGTGTGCTGTGTAACTTTCATTGTAACAATCTATTTTTAGAATTGTATTTGATATTTGCCCATTTTGTATCCAAGCTTAGATCTGTTCAGTTTTTAGGCAGTTGTGCCTTGTGTGAATCTGTAGTAGATTCTATATTAGGAGCAGATAATTATAGAGCCATTTGTTGGCCTGTGCTTTGGATTTAGTGTTTCTGAGTCAAATACTAGTATTGCTTGTTGCACACACACACCATTGTAACTTCTGGTTTTCAGCTAATTGCATTTTCACGACATTTTACACCAGTGCATTGTGTCATTTGCTTCTTGTATTATTAGATTGTCTTGGCATTATTGGGTGACTTTTTAGACCGTGTCAGTTGGAGATTTTTATAGTGGAATTGTACTTTTGTCTACAGTGTAGTTAGACATACTTTTGACTTGTATTTTATTGTCTGTTTGTATGCAGACTTGATTGTAGGTTAGTGATTGAGGCCTGATTTTGTAACAAGTCATATTTCTGTGGGTGCATTCCAAGGTAATTATTCCAACCATGTCTGTGCCAGACTCTATTGCGAAGTCAAATAGTGCTTTAGCTAGGACCATAGTTAGTGCCTTCACAAATATTTTATGTGAACAAAATGAAGATGCGTTCTATTGATAGAAATGCAGTGAGTAGCATTGAAGCTGCACTGAATGATAGATTTGCTGCTATTTTGAAATGTTTCGAGAAGCCTAGTGAAGACAGGGTTCATGAATCACAGTGTCCTGACCTTGTTATGTGTTCTCATACAGTTGAGGCGGTAGATGCTATTTTTGAAGAGGCTAAGCTGCTTCTAATTGAGACGGTTTTACTTGAAGCTGCTGATTTTTGTAATGTGCAGGTGGAAGGAGTAGTTTCTGTTTCTCCCACTGTGAGTATTTTCGATGATAGCCTTCATGTAGTTAGCTACAGTAATGTAACACATCCTTCACTTAGTTTGGCAGATGGCAAAGCCCAAGAAAAAGTAGGGAACCCTCCCTTGTCTTTGGTTATCGCAGCTTATTTCTGTGTGTTGGCAGTAGTGGTGACCATAATGACTGTTGACAGGAGTACAGTGCCTCATATTCGGGGTCTGTGGCCAAATGCCATTACTTAAAAGTACTTGTGTTTATCTATGCCTAGCATGATCATTGTATATGTATTTGGCTATGTATTGATAGCTCAAGCTGCCCCTCCATATTTTACTGCACAACTATTGGTGTTTTGCTCTTTGAAAAAAGGGACACAGGATTTATCCGCACCATATGTACTTATTTCATTGTATAAACTTGTATTTTGTATTTTTCTATTTTTTTGAAATTTAGTTGTTATTCACATGTTTGAATGAGATTATTGTACGAATTGTTGTACAACTATTATACATGCCTTTTATAATGTTGTGTTTTTATAGCATGTTTATGTAGGTGTGTCTTTTGTATGATGACTAATTGATCACTATATTTTCATGATTCAGGCAGATGCATTTTAGGTTTTTCCTGACTTGTCAAGGTTGGTTCACAGAGACGTGGCATTTTCATGTTTTTCTCTCTCTTTCATTTTATATGGGATAGGAATTTGTGTGTCTTTGTTTACATTTCCAAATTTATTCCCTAAGAACGTTTAGTGCCGGGATTGTAGGTTCCTAATTTTAGTGTAGTTGCTAAGTGGAACATTTTGTCAGCAGTTTTGTAGTTTGGTGTATTCCAACTATTTTTTACTCACAATATTATAGGATATTTTGTATACCCTTTTTAGTGAAATTTGTCTGGCACTTTCACCATGCAATCTACCATTTATAGGACCATTTTCAGGAAATGTTTATGTGTGTATGTACTTTGTAAATTCCTCTCCTATTGTTGTTGCCCTAAGTACTATTAGTGATGGGTGTTGCTCCTCCCAGTTTAGCTTTGTTTTGGGGTAGAAATGTAATTGTTTTCCTAGCCTTATGTGGGTGAAGGATGTTGTAGTTGGTCGAGTTGTCCAACTGTTTGTTCTCACAGTGTGAACGAGACTTTGTATTATTCTACCCTGTAGTCTATCTGGAGATGCACTGAATTGTTTGAGAAAAATACATTTTGTATTGACAGCCACTTGTATCTGAGACCTATATGTAGTGTATGAACCTCCTGTTTGTCTGCCACTTCATATCCAATTGTTCCATTATAACAAAAAGTCACTTCTATCTTAATACAGATCCAATGTGATTTAGATTTCATTACCTTGTTATGCATATTAAAATCATAACGAGTGTATGTTCAGAGTTGTTGGCATGAAACCACAGTTTTATTGTATAGTGGATATGTACATGTATGTTGTATTTTCCTTTATCTTTAAAGGGATGCTACATGTCTATAAATGTTATGCAGTATTATTACATTGAACCTGTTTTAATTTAATGTACCGCATTGAGACATGTAAAAGGTGTTATTGTTGTAGATCACTTAATTAATGGGAATTTTATATAATCATTTCCAGGTCGCCCTTGTATTTCTGTTATTTGGGACCACTCGGGTCGCGTGGTCTTAAAGTAGGGAACCTGTAGGGAGACCAAGTGCGCCCTCAGTTGTTCGTCCAAAAGTTTCGCGAGTGATTTGCATATCATGACCTTTGTGCTTCCCGCGCAAAGGCAACTTGTAACAAGTTTTCCTCTGTGGGACTTGAACAGGGAAGACCACCACAAATTTGGGGCATATATTCTCTCTATTTTGTAGGGAGCATGGCTCCGGCCATGCTCCAAATTTATATCATTTTGGAAGGTTAGTATTATATCATTTTGGAAGGTTAGTATTATAGATTCGTCCCTGTGAGTACTTTAGTGTATAATGTGATCCTTTTGTGAGAATATTGTGTTCACTTTGAGGCCGGATGATTCACGTCTGTGATTTGTAACATATGTAGCCAGCCGTGTGTTGACATTTGACCTTTATCGTTCTATTTTATTGTGCCTTACATTTATCATGGATTATTGCTTTGTGTAAAGAATATTATCATCTTGACTCTTGTGTGGAAATAATGTAAATACAAGTTCGGTAAGCTCATCTCATTGTCGTCGTCATGACATAGGTTCATAGTTTTACTGGCATATATTTTTAGTGGAACACTCGTCCTCTTTAAATAGAGGGCCGGCCTCCTTTTGCCGTCCCGCTACATTGATATACATCTTTATCCCGAAGAGCTCCCCCTAGTGTAATGTGGTGTCAGCCCCCCCCCCCCCTTTTCGAATTTCCACGGACGGGAAATTTTTGTATTTGGGTCATCCCCCATCCCCCCAACTCGCCGGCACAGATTTACGTCACTGTTCTTGCTCCCCACTTCATCACTCTATTTCAAAAAGTCGACAAGTTGTTGGCGTATAAATGTAAAACTACCTACGTATCAGCAATCCTTTCAAATCTGTTTCTACAGCGATTTTCTTCCTCGAAACTATAACTCTAGGCCAACACTCGTCGTTAACGGCAATAAGTTCCAGACTTTATAATAATTAACGCACGCATTAATGAGATAAGACGACCCTCAAACCGATCTTAAGTTAAGACGAGTTCAGCCGTGTTTAAAAGAAAGTCTTAAGTTTGGTGAAATCGATCCTATCGTGAGTCGCAAGTTAAGACGAGTCACCCTTCCCAAGACGCGTCTTGGACTTAAGCGGCCCAGGACATTACGAAGTACAGTGGAGCACTTTTATAACAAGGTCCCTGGGACTTTACAAAATATCTGGATGTAACAGGTACCTTTGTATTATCAGTAATGAAAAACAAGGAAAAACAAATACTTTTGACCTAAAATTTTTCTTTTTATAAGCAGGAGGTTGTATTGACATTGCTCTTTTTATCAATGTTCGACTGTTCATGTACACGAAAATCGCCTCTTTGATGTTATCTAACCATTTGTAGATTGTAGCAGCGCACATGCATCCCTAAAGGTGTGAAATCAACCAACGCAACCATTGCTTGTAAAGTAAACTTTTATCATTGTGGTTATTTTAAGATAGTGTATCCTCAGCAGTATAAGAGTGAATTTGTCTTCTTTTAAATAAAGACAATCGTGGAGATGAGGACTTTAGATAACAGCTCTTTTGATACGTGATCAAAGTCACTGTCTTTAATTGCAATTTTCACCACATGAATGACTATACATACCGCGATTTGTTTCACTCTCCATTGTTACATTCTCGCTGTTCCAACCATCTGTAGTTTCCATGCTTGGTGAGACTGTAGGATCAACAGATGACTCTGAACTCTCGTAAGAATAGTCGTACAAGTTGTACAAGGAATCTTCAAAGGGCAATTGCAAACTTGGACCTGCCACAAGGTGAATGTTCCATCAATGATGTAGGTGTTGATTGGGAGGGGGGGGGTGTCGGGACACAATCAGAACGACAGTATATCACACAATCAGAACGACAAAAATGCTGGTTTTATTGCTTAACTCCTGGTACAAAACAATACTTTTTATACATCCAAAGATGTGACTCAACTCAACAGAAACTTCTAAAATAAGATGGCGTCCGTGAACTGGTTTTCCAGTCTCTTTGGCAGGGGCATCTGTCCAGCCGTCAAAGCGAAACAGCGCCCTAGCTCAGTCAAACGCCAATAAATTAAGTACACGTGTCCACAGTAGATGTCAAATTTATTATGCAAACTCGATAGATTATTTACAGAAATTATAGTATTGTATGTGTTGCTTTCACAGGACGATGGATGTGCTTCACGGTGTTATAGATTATACCTTGTGGGAACACGTACTACAGTACACAGAGTTATGTTAAAAACATCACATTTTTATCCATAGGCCCACTGAATGAAACAAAAGGTAGGTTTGTAAGAGAGTATGAGCCAGCTACAATTAATTAAAACCCCTTTGACATATGAACTCTGTCACGATACAAGTATAAATACTTGGAAATGATTGGCAATGTCTTTAGATGGGAAAATTGATAACTTGGCGTTAAACGAAAAAAGGGGAACAACTGAAGGTGTGAAGATATATTTATTCTTACTTTCTGGGCAAGGTCCATTGCTGACGACCTGTATGTCCAAGTCCAGCAGACAGCCTCCAGCCTTCATTCTGCAGATGCTGGGGTACGTTCGACCGTCACTCCCACAGTATTGCTCCTGGCCTACGTCATCACACTGCCGCGGGTGGATGCAGTGGCATGTTGATGGACCATTGCTGTTGGCCACACATCTCTCCCACAGCTCACAGTTGCAGTCATCTGGCCCCAATAGCGGGCCTGTGTCATCAGGAACATCGGCTGTCAAAAAAGAGTTAGGATTCTTGCATTGAACGCTTGGGTGTCAAATATTGGAGTAAATTCTCTTTGTACTGCCATCTGCTTAGACATTTAATTGCAAAGTTTTCAAAAACCTTTTAAAAAGACTATAAGGGTAGTCTTTTTCAGTAGGGAAAAATGTAATTTCCAATTCTTCAAAAAATAAAGTTGTACATGTATACCTTTAAAAACGTTGTGAACATACTTATGGTGAATTTATAAGGATGATAAATTGCATATTATAAGTATTAATCTAGGCCTACAATTGTATTTGTTATTATAATGGAATCCTTATATCATTATGTTACTTTCTACTCTGGTAACCGAATTAAATACATGTTCATGGTAGTTAATGAGTAACCACTAATCACTTTAAACAGAACTAGAGGTTGTAAGAACAAACACACGGTGTTGGGCCATTGATTACCGCAAACTTTTCCAACCACATCAACTCAAAATGCATATTTAAATCCATGTTTGACCTAGTCAATCGTTGAAAGCAAGTTCACATCTTTTGCCAATTTAAGATTACAAGGCACTTCCGGTTACGACCGGAAGGAAGGGTCATGGTGATTTTGCACTTAGTACCAAATATGAAGACCCTGTAATATTGTATCGATTGCCATAATAAATAAATTCTAATCTGTGACAGTTGATTTGATATTGATTTTCAAAGATTAAACATAGGAATCTTTATTTTCTTGTAATATGATGCTTGATGACGTCATTGTTGCATCATTACCAGAAAGCGCACGAGGTATGCTAACTTTGCTATATGAAGCCAAATCTTGATATCATTCACGGTTGATGTTTTAGCAATTTTTGAAGGTTTAAAGGTCTTCTCATTGTAACTTCCGGTCTGATGACGTAATCAATTGTTTTCGCGCACATGTCTTGTCTGCATTAAAGGTCATCATGTATATTAATTTTGACGCGATTACCGCAAACTTCGCCACAGACATCAAGTGAAAATGGGTTTTTGACATTTTTTAACCTCCGCTAGAGGGCGTTCGAACACTTCATGGCGTCACCGATCACTTTTTTAAAGGTCTATCTAGCCAGACACTAACATCGTTGAAAGCAAGTTTATATCTTTTTCCACTTTCAAATTATTAGGCACTTCTGGTTTCGACCTGAAGGAAGTGTCACGTAATTGGACGTGCAAAAGATTAAATAAGATCATGTATTATCATGTTGATTCCCGCAAAATTAAAATTCCGGACTCTCACGGTTGATTTTAAATTGAATTTCGAAGATTAAATATGATTATTTTTGAAGTGACGTCACGTAACCCATGATGACGTCATGATGACGTAACTACCAAAAACACAAATTCAGTGGGTTGTGCTTTCATGTATTGACAATTGAAGTTCATATCACTTTTCATGTTGACAAACAGTTCTAGAGAAGAATGTATCTTGCAGAAAAATAATAATAGTAAATTCATAGAATAACAGTAGGTTTTGGGCTCATACCCCAACACCTAATAAATTGTTTGGCCGACTTCCAAATATACCAGAGTCTCACCTGCACAAGTAGGGAAGGAAGGAGACCAGCTGCCACCCTCGCAAGTGAGGCGTGTTTCTCCTACCGGATGGAATCCGGATTGGCAAGTAAATATCACTACTGAGCCTGGTGAGTTGCCTCCATTTATCGTGAGACGTAGGTTGGGGTCTAGGTGTGTCATGTTGATCTCAGGACAGTCCCGAGCTGGTTACGGAACACAATAAGAAACCATGAAAAAATTATTCTTTATATAATATTTTGACATAAAGCCAACATATAATTGCAATGCAATGTAACGCAACACAATGCTACATCATGCGTGCCATGCCACGTTACATAGTTACGTGGACGTCATGCAGTTTTTAATCTAAATCCTTTAATTTTATTACATTGGTGCACATTCTACGGATAATTGGTCTCCGGCAATCAGTGCTGTAGTCGAGTACTTTTCATGAGTACGAGACGAGTTCGAGTACTTTTTCTACGAGTACGACTACGAGCACACTTCCATGAGCACGAGTACGAGTACTTTTCCACGAGTACGAGTACGAGTACGTTTCCATGGGGTACAAATATTCCCTATCTATTATATACTTACCAGTCACACAGTCAAACGAAAACAAGTCAGGTGTGTTTACAAACACAAATGCCTTGCAACCGTCACCGTTCCCATGACATAACACCACTCTTTTAACATCATTTTACCTTGGTCACATGGAACGTTCATTGACAGCATTAGTGTTTTCTGTAGGTTTTATATGAATTATTCCCTATGATCTCAGAATAAATACAGGATTTTTATTGTTTTAGCCACTGTGACCTTGACCCTTGACAATTCGGACTCAAAAGCAATACGCTTCTTAGGATTACCAAGAACAATACACAAACCAAATTTGAAGTTCATATGTAAAGTATTTCTCAAGTTATCGCGCTGACAAAATTTATTTTGTTTTGGCCACTGTGACCTTGACCCTTGACCTTTCGGCCCCAAATGCAATATGCTTCTTAGGATTACCAAGAACAATACACAAACCAAATTTAAAGTTCATAGGTTAAGTATTTCTCAAGTTATCGCGCTGACAAGATTTATCCGGACACACCCACCCACCCACCCACCCACCCACACACCAAGGTTTCGTTACATACCTTGTGTGGACTTTTCATTGCTTTCGTGTAGTAATGAAAAACCAGTGAAAAAACTCATTTTTCTCAAACTATTAAAATTCTTTCAACCCAATTTTTTTTTTATGATTCCCTTTAGTGTTTCTCTTCATTCTGCCACTGATAAACCTAACCCCGAAATACCTCTAAACCTGTTTTCCAGAATGGGGAAACATTGGGTGGACATGGGCCAGTCCACACAACGTCGCTGCTACCTGGTTTATGTGGACCTCTTTTGTTCGAAAGTCCACACATTGAATAGAATGCCTACCCACACACACACACACACACCCACCGTCTAGGACAAGGCGGAAATAGTATGCCACTTTGGCTTCGCCGCGGGACATAAAAACAAGATAGTTCATGAGCGTAACACAAAGGCGAACCCTTTGTTAAACCCAATTTTTTTACACGATTGGACAACAACTTAATGGAACCCTGAAGTGTAGCCACCTGTATTGCCGACGAGTAGAACTGAAATAAGAGTGGGAGACATGGAACAGTTTGACATTAATTTATTTACTTTATTAAACAGGTATGACTGGAGTCATGCATTCAATAACAAATGTTTCAGGACAAGCGTGCGATAAGATTCAAAGTGTATAACGGTTGGTGCTTAAACTTGCTCTCTGTATGATTTCAATAAGTCTTTAATTTTCACAACAAACCATTAAATGTTATCTTGCTAGGAGTCAATCACTGATATTTCTGAACTTCCAACAATCAGAAAGGTTTGTGTTTTGTAATGTTTTTATTTGTAACTCTTAATTTTGAATTTTTAAATCCTGCACATTAATGGGGGAGGGGGGGGTGCCTGTTTGACATCCAAAACAATGTCATTCTTACAAATTCTGTTACTAACTCGCTAAACAAACATAGCGTTATCTTTAGAGCACAAACAGCTTTTTTGTAACATGTTTGTTGCACTTCAAGAAGCTGCATGTATAAATTACATACTTTGTATTGTACAGTGTGTCCAGAAGTGTGTTTTTACAGGCTATGACAGCATTGTTTGTAGCATAAAATGCAGCCCTGTACTGGTAGACTGTATTCAGCATTGAGCCTTTAGCTATGTAGCTAGCTGTGCACAGATCAGACAACCAAATGCGTGCTGAACATGCGTTCATTCAAGTCCACTTTTCCTCAAGTTTTAGTATGCTGTATGGTTAAGAGTATGAGTACAAGCACTTTCCATGAGTACGAGTACGAATACTTCGCCATGAGTACGAGTACCAGTATGAGTACAGGAAAAAATTCCTGCGAGTACGATTTCGAGCACATTTCCATGAGTACGAGTACGAGTACGGAAAAAAGTACTCGAGTACGACTCAAAAGAGTACGAGTACGAGTACGAGTGCTACAACACTGTCAGCCATACAAACACACGAACAGAACCAGTGAACACAAGTGAAATGTCTTTCTTCGGCGTTCATGTGTGAGTGGCACAATACTATCAACATTTGATGTAAATGTCACCAGCCTAAAAAAGGTCCCCCCATAATTTTGTTGTTTCACCCAAAGTTTCATTATTATTTAAATCACCAACGGCCAATCACAATAGCCGTATTGAACGGGACCCTGGTTAGCGTGATTGCAATGCTGACCGGAGACGAGGAAAGACCATGTCATAATTTGCTTTCCTTTTCCCGTTTATGCAGGTAAATATTTTGAACTTTTACCTTTTACATTTCATAGTTAATTTATCATGAACAAGTATGTAGATGTATTCATGTGATTTCCTGAATAATTCTGCTTGTAATTGTTGCTCTTTCGAAGCACAGATTCAAATGAACATGTTCCCGCTTACTTTCAGTTTTGAATTATTCTTAACCTTAATCAGTCTAGATTTACTGTAAATTATTATTGCATTATCTTCTTGATCTTGTGGAACGAGTAGTTTGAAGTATTTTGTTTCATTATCTTGGATGTTGATGCTATTTTCAGTAAAAACCTTAATATTCCAAGATAGCGGCCGTAGGATACGGTTTGGCGGGAAACCACCAAAAGCCTCCATTTTCCATTTTCTTTAATCGTATCGTTAACTTAATAGTTAAGTGTTTCCTAGAAATAGATGCAGATAGTTTGCACTCTTATTTCGTTTTGTTTATTCCATTTAATTATGTGTTTGTAAATATTAATTGTGATTGCAATGCTGACCGGAGACGAGGAAAGACTATGTCATAATTTGCTTTCCTTTTCCCGTTTATGCAGAATAAACCAGCACAAAACAGAAACCAAATCGCCGAGTCCTCTTCCCACTTTTCGACTCTTAACACCCAGGGTCACAAATGGTGGAAGATCCGGGTAGAGGACCACCATCGGCAACTATCTTCTCTGCGAGCAATTCCTACCTTGACGTATGCCTGCCAGGGGGAGCTGCAGACAGACGGCAATCCCCTGTTTCCCCTACGCATATCCAAGCTGACGTGGAACTGAATCCCGAAGAACAACTGTGAATGCCAGTTCCTGATATCGGCCTTCCTACCAAGCGGTAGTGGTGGTCCTCGCATCCTGAGTCTACTTCGACGACCACCACCGTAGCCGTACCGAAGATCACCCGAGGCTGTACCGATCGTCCCCGTACGCGTGTGGCCGCGCGGACATCTTTCCCGACTTCTGCAGATGCCGGCTGTTCCAGTGATGTAGCTAGCCATCAATGGATGACAGTGGTGCTAACATTTACGCAGGCCATTTGCTGTGAACTTTTGTACTTCCAGCGTTTTTGAGATTCGCAGAACTGAACTTGATACTCGTCGCGATAAAGAACTGCCCTTCTATTGCCAATAGTGACAAGCCATTATTTTCCGTCTGTCAAGTACTGACGATCAAGACAAGACAACCGGCCGGCTGTACACACTTCCGTTGACAGGACGCCGTAAGTGAATTGTTTGAGTAAACAAATAACTTAACAATATCACAGATTTGTGGTTTCCAGGTTAAACGATTGCATTTGAATTGTATGGTTGGATCTGGAGTGTAGTCACCTGTCATTAGTTCAGGTCACACAAAACATTTCCTACATTGCAATTTGATAGTCAGTGTGTTAACAGGCGTTACTCAACAGGTGTACATGAACTTTGAATGCCTTGTTAGACCAGGCGCGGTTCTAGAACCAATATTTTTTTTTGGGGGGGCTAGCACGGTGCACTTGGATCCAGAATTTTTTCAGGGAGGCGCGCTGAAATGTTGACCGGTTATTTTTTTCAGACACTTAGGCCTCCGAAAATCAATAGGTGGGGGTGGGGGGGGGGGGGGGGGGGGGGCTCATGACATATTTTCAATTGGGAGCGACAATAAAATCCTAAGATCATTCACACTATACCATGTATACTAACTAATGCACCCTTGTCACGGCTATTTCTTCTTTAGGGGGAGACCGTTCGCATGTACATCACAATCCTTCTTTTTGCTAATGCAATTTTTTTTTTTAAGGAATTTATTTTGGGGGCTAGACAACATTTTTGGGGGGCTTCAGCCCCCCTAGCCCCCCCCCCCCCGTAGAACCGCGTCTGTGTTAGACATGTTGACATTTTTGAAGTCGAGTTGTAAATAAGCACATCTTGAGGTTCGATACTTAATGAATAGACCAGATCACTGTTTATTTTTATTTCGTTTGCGCTTGTCAAGTTGTTCCTGGTCCGTTGTTTGTCAGCAATTATTTTTTTTGCATTGCATGTGCCTGAATAAGTTGCTGTACAGGAGCAAGGGCGGATCCGGGGGGGGGGGGGCAAAGGGGGCCATGCCCCCCCCCCCCCCAAAAAAAAACGAAACCAATTTTTTAAATTTTTTTATGTGACATCGCAATAAAGGCAGGCAATGAGTACACTACCATCTTTTCCTCAAAAAAACATTGGTTAAAGTGGTCAGAAATTGCCTCAGATCGCACCACAGAGCATCTGGAATCCAATTTTTTTTCGGGGCCCTTAAGCGGGCCCCGAAACCCACGCCGTAAGTTTTTTGACCCACTTCTTAGGGGGACCAAAATTTTTGGCCCCCAAAAAATTGTGTCCTGGATCCGCCCTTGTACAGGAGCTCTCATTGAT